CAAATGCAGTCCTTAGCAAAACTGGTCATTTGGGCCCTGATCCAGCAAAGGCATAGTCACATTCCTAAATTACACACTGTGACCACTTCCATTGATTTCAGGTACAATAAATTGGAATTAAAAGAACATGCATAAGTATTTGCTAGAGTACTAAGCCGTCAACACTATCATGGCGCTTCTCCTGGGATAGCAGAGCTCCAAGCCCCTTCCATAGCACCTAAAACTAAACTCAACTTTTTAGTGCCAAATCTGTTTCAGAAAGCATGGTAGCTTACTGTTGTTTGTACCGCCTTAAATCTCTGGGTCAGTTATTTATCGCAGCAAATCTCCATAATGTCAGCCCTATTTAACATTATTTCTTACAGCGTCTAAGACTCAGTGTTTGGTGTACGGTCTTTGGTATGCTGGTTAAGTATTGTAAAATCCCAGTAATTTTTTTAAAACTCACTATTCGTTTATAATACATTTTGAAGTGCGTCTTGCCTGTCTTTCTCAGATATTGTAATGGTATCTACTTGCTATCTGTCTAGATGGTTCACTGTTACAGGCTTAGTTTCGAGAAGAATTTTTAAAAACCTGACAAGGATAGGTTCTGAGGTGCTGCTCACATAATATGGCATTGCCTCAACAGCTCACGAAAGCATCCTGTTCCACCTGAAAGAAACAGGCAAAGTGGTGCTTACATTTTTTTCCCGCGCAACACTGAGTATTTTTTCAACCACCTTAAAAGGGCCATTGTAATAAATTGATTGAGTTTGAAAGCTTGTCCAGTTTCACTATAGCTTCTGTAAGTGATTCTGTTCTATCTTAAAATGTTGTTTATTACCTCCAGCTCTACTATACGTTCCTCTCTGAATTTCAGGAAAAGCCATAGTTTGTGTTTCTGAAGCAAGAGGTGGGGATGCTTGGTAGCATTCCAAGGGAAATTGCTGATGTTTCTGCAAACTTCCAATTTACTATTCAGGAAAATGAAATGAAATATTTTGTTCTGGAGCAGATAAACAAAAAAAACAGAGACTATTTTGCTGAGATGGCTTGAAGCATCTACTGAAACCATTGCTTAGTCAAAACATTGGAAAGACAAAAAGTTTGCTTCGGATTGAATCAAAAAATGGGAAAAGGACAAAAAATTCTGGTGACCCCCCGAGTTTTGTTAGACCCAGAATGAAACATTTATTTTCCTTTTCAGGTCTTGTAACCATTTTCAATCAGGTTTTTAAGTTGTATCATTTTTGAAGTGAAAAACATTATTAAAACGTTTTAGTCCAAACATGTTAATTCAGGTTTTTGCCCTGTTTTCTCCAATCTATTCACCAAATTTCTTTTTTTTTCCTGTTTTGCTTTTGGGGCTGGGGTTTTTTGTGTATGTCCTGAAACTCCTTTGTTTATTTGTTTGCTTTCTTGTTTGTTTGAACAATTCAGAATCTGTCAGATTTTGGTAGTTCAAGCAAAGTCTCATCAAGCAGGGAGAGAAAATGCCATTCAAGTAAAAACTAGACGAGGACGTGTTCCACAGGTTTAGTAATAAAGTATTATTTTTCCAAGAGCTCTTTGAGATATTTGCATCTCTGTATATGCCTGAACTATTTCCTCGGGATAAGGAAAATAGGGTGTTCTGTGGCTGATGATAATTTGTTTAATACTCATGAGACATTTGGGTTGCCACTTTTCTCTTTTTGTTTATTTGCTGCCAAGTTTTTCCTTTGTTTTTCTCAGGGAGATTAGGGCAGGAAAACGCCGCACTCACGAAAAGATGAGAAGTCCCACTGCCTGGAGCCAGATGTTCATAAAATATTCCTTTGATTTTTTTTTTTTCCCTCCAGTCTCTTTCTCCCCCAGCACAGCAGCTGAGAGTAAGTCCCTTTTCCCTTTGTGTTCAGCTGTATGTCATCTTGAATTTAGTCTGAGATTTCAGTCAATTTGACTCTGAGGGAAGGGGCTCCCACGGCAAATATTTCCCTTTCCTTATTTCAGACACTTTGTCTGCAAACTAATTGTGCAGATTGGAGTTATTTCATTTGTTAGGATTGCTTTTGGTAACAGAACAATATACAAGTAAAACTGAAGTGCTCTGTTCTGAAGAAAAGGTAATTTTTCCTCTGCATGAACTATTTAAAAGTTCCCAACACACATGCTTTTGCTTTGCTTTTGCACTAAATAACACTAATTAGGTGAATAGTATTAAATTCTCCTCTTAGTAGAAATCTCTTACTCTCACTAATACTAATGAGTAAATATTTAAACTTGCTATAAATATTCTCCAGTAGTTATTTTTACAGCAGCAGTAAATTAGAATTCCATAGCGCGAGAAGCCCTGAACAAAGGCTGTACAAAGGTGTTAAACCCAAGCCTGTAGGTGAATTAAAATAGAAATCACATCGAAATTAGTCTTGACGATGGAACATTAAAAGCTTGTGAATATTTTCAATAGCCATAATCGCATCATAATTTAATACATCCTTTCTCACATATATTCCGGTTTTTCCACCCCATCTGCCTCTTTTACTCTCAGCTGCTACCATGATAGCCCCTCAGGACAGCATAATCTCTTTAGCTGTGATGCCATAATCTGTTGCTAGCATACGAGTGGAACACAAAAAAATGAAGAATACTGCACATATTTAAACATTTCCCCCATCCTCCTCGGAGAGGAGGCTTAAAGAAATTAAGAAAAAATGTTTTATTGTCTATAAATTATAAATACTATTACATTAGAGTTAACTGAATCTTACAATTAGTCTTTATCTTTCTTAATGAAGAATCTCCTCAGTTGTATTTCACTATTGAAACAAAGCTGACAGTTCTTGCCAGCTGGAAAAAATCCACTGCCAGAGAGGAGCTTTTCCCACCCAGTTTATTGCTGCAGCACAAGGAGTCCACTTCACGTTGATCTAGAATTTCAGACAATGCGCAATGGCTCTCGTAGAAGCTATTGCACGCACATTACACACTCCAAATAGGCTTCGGTTATGCTGGAGAGACGACAAATACACTGGCAGAAATATGTTGTAGCATGTTGTGACAATACGTCCCTTTCCAATCCAACAGCTGGAAGCAGAAAGGTTGACTGAAGATGAAAAGGGATCCCTCCAGTACAGGTTCCAGCATCTTTGGGAACCAGATGGACTGAAATGGAAAACAGAACTAAAATAGGCCACAAAATTCACTGCCAGAAGAGGTTTTCTTTTTATTCATGGCAGTGCCAAGTTTTACTAAAAAGAAATTTGCCATGTCATAGAAACTAAAGATGGGAATGACCTGGAACATCCTTTGTTCTATTGCGACCATTGCAGGATTGTTCCAGGTATTTTTGCTAATCTTAGTGTAGTCTGATTTTTCAAGGCTCATGAAATAAAGCATTTTATCTGCCATTTTTAGATTATTTCACCAGAAAGAGTTTAGGAGAACTTTTCTCAAGTACTGAGAATACATTTCCTTGCTTATTCTCATTACTTTTAGTTTTATCATCCTAGACTCCCTTGGGCAGCTTTTCCCAGTACCTGCTTTTTGCCATTTCATATTCTTCTGTGTAGCTGTTATGTTTCTCTACAGTTGCCATGATTTTTTTTTTAAGACCTCTTGTAATGTCACTTGCAGATGTCATTACTATTCTGTTCACTTCCCCCTTCTGCTAATGAAGACGTGAAACAACACAGAACCTATCGTTGCTCTTCCTAGGCACTTCCTGCCAGCCTGCTAGGCTGCTGTTTATCGGTACTCTTCCTTTATGGTCCTTCAGTTTGCGTTCATTCCCTATGACGGTGCTCTTATCTAAGTCTTTCCAAATTAATTTTTCAAGTAAAATTTTCTGAGACGCTGTAAGAAAGGTTTTGCTGATGCTTCAATCCAGCTTCATTGCTTCTGCTGTTTTCGCTTCTTCTACACTAGGGATTTTGTCCAGACAAAAAGCAATTGAGGAATAACAATTCATGTTGAGATACCTCTTTTCTCCCTTCGAGTGTAACTTTCTGATCTAAGGATCCTGCTCTATGAATACTTGCTGCCTTAATGGCAGGCACTCTCAAAGGCTAGGTTGTAACCAGCATTGATAATCTGTTACTCAGAAAAGTTGCAGGGATTGCAATCGGATGTGTCAGGTGATTAACTTCTTACTAGGTGGAGGAAGGGCTGCAATTTCATTTTATGCAGTCTATGTATTGCATCCTACGCAGTAAGTATTAAGGGCCAGATTTCACTCCACACACAATGAGTAAAATGTTTTATATGAGTGACAAAATTCTCTTTGTCTCAGCATAATCTTTGTTTCAGGCCAGATAGAAATTAATTTAAACAGTGGGATTTTGGAAGAAGCAGATCTCTGTTCAGTGTGAAGATGGCAGAAACGGAGTCATACTAGGTAAATCAGGATTGTCTCTACCCTTTCCCTTGTAGACAGTGACTTGACAGAATATCCTCTTGGAGCCTGTAGCTTTTCAGAATAAGGAGTGGGAGGGTCACTTCAGAGTGTTAAGAGGTTGATTCTTTCTTTCTTGTAGGATATTGTCTAATTCTCTTTGGAATGATAATGACCTTTGGATGGAGTTAACCTCCATCACGGGAATCACCTGTATTGGTTCATTTTATATGGAATAATCCCAATGCTAATCATGTCATAATGAAATCAAGCTTTATCAGTTAAGGAGACTACTAGAAATACAACATCCTTCTCTTGCTTCTCTTCTTCCTAGTTTCACTCCTCTTTGGCTACTTTAGCCTTCTTGCAAGCCTGTATAACCTAGCATTCGTCCGTATGCCATCTCTCCATTTCTTCTCTGCAGCCTCAGGGGTTCAGGAAAACTTTCTCTTAGTGGCATCTTGAAACCTGGAGCTTTTTTTAGTCAACTTCCTGTGTTAGCACAGGATAAGGACTGTAGTTTTCACTGATAGATTTCAGCTCATGTCCTTGTTTTAACTGCTGAGTCAGCACATAGACAGGATGGGCCTTGACTGGCATGGGACATCATGGCGTCTTTTGTTCTCTGCACTGTGTTTTCCTTCAGGTGTTATCTTGCTGCTTCTCGATAAGTTACGGAAGATGAAATGGGAGCAGATGTGGAGACTCACGGCAGAGCGGGAGTTAATGAGTATGCTGTCCACTTCACTGGCTGACCAGGTGAGTAGGACATTGCAGACGAGTGGTGCAACCACTACTCCATGGATTGAGGAAGGTAAGAAAGGGAAAGGGGATGAGATGTGGGAAAAGGCAGGGGAAAGATATTGTGCTTGTAGTCACCATTTGTTGAATCGTTCTGGGGAAAACATGGAAGAGAGGAATGGAGATTTACTCATGAGGTTTCTCTTACTACACTGACATTTTTACCTTCTCTGCACAGATGATTCATGAGATTGACAAATGGGGGTTTCAAGCTTTAATTTTCTGTCCTCCTTTCTTTAACATAAAACTCTCTAGACACTAGAAGTCCAAATATACTATGTCTTTTCCTACTGGTTATTGTCTAAGCAGACTTTAGTTTTAAGAGTCTCTAGATATTTCTTTACTGTTTCTGGCAGATGAGTCCCAGCAGTTTTTTAATGTACTCCTTGCCGCAACACCCCTGTGAAGACAAAAGTGCTGCAGTCTCCCTGCCACAGGTGGGAAACTGAGGCCAAAAGAAGAAAAAGTGTGCCTATACACAGAAATGCATACTTACTCTCTTTGTACTTCCTACCAGCTCTCAGTTTTAAATCCAGAAACCCTGTTAATGTAGTACTGGACCTGAACCAGTAAGTCTTGCTCAACAGATTGAGTGTATTAACTCAATACAGCATCATATTTAGATATTTCTACTGCTTCTGAGCTACATCTGGCTTATGACCAGTCACCACTAAGGAAGCATGCTGCTTACTGTGCACGTAGAGATGTGCACTTGTCTACAGTATCCTTGCAGGTTGATCCAAAAGCGACTGAAGTTCATTAAAATTCTTGCAACTTCACTGTGTTTTCCATTAGGTCCTGAGTTGCTTTCTAATACCTGCATGGGGCAGAATTTTGCAGAGTGTTCCAAGGTTGCTTATGTCTTACCCTAATACCTTAAGCACAAGACTGTCCTTGTAACTTGCTTCTCCAAATGGATGGCTGCATAGAGGCAGAACATGTTCTATCCCTCATGGTGTAGGCTGTTCTGCAAATCTGTCCTACATGCACTTTCCATGAAATACCTAGAATACTTGTTGCAACAATAAAGTGCTAGCTAAAATCCCACATAGTAATTCACCTTGAAGCAGCGCAACTGCCAGGATTACTTTCATCTCCTTTATTGAAAAGTGATGCAGTACTTACTAACAGCAGGCGGTTTGTCATTTACTGCATATTACTCTCCCTGGTGACTAGAAGAGGAACCACATCTCTTGCCAGGAATACAAGATACATGCTTTGAAAACTTTGCTGGAGTCCATTAGCTCTGTGTGTCAAGAGAGCCTGTTCCTCTTGTTCAGATCTACACGTCACCCCTTAGATTGATAGCGCTCTCTATGGAAACAGAATTACGAAGCAAGGTTTGCAGAGTTCAGCTTGCATAACCACTTGCCTTTCTCCCTGTGAGGGTGAGAAGGACAGTCAGCTCGGGGAGGGGTTGAGATCACCTCACTGTAGAAACAACGTACCCAACTGTTTCTCTGGTTTTGTCTGCTAGGATATCTTCAATGCAGTCATCAAACAAAATCCCTTCCTTGTCTACCAGCTCCCATGTTTCTGGAACGTGCAGCTGTCTGATCACACGCGTTCCGAGCAGTGCTACAGAGATGTCTCTGACCTGAAGGTATGTTTTACAGGAGGTTGGATGGGTGGTATCCTTTGCAACAGAGAATACAAGACTCCGCTGTGACAGAAAGATGAAGTCCCTTAAGTAGAGGGGAAACTAACACATAAGGTTTATGAGGACACCCAAACAGGGGAAGCAAATACGACTTTGGCTTTGTGCATTTTGACTGCTGGAGAAGTCAAAGATACATGCTGCTTTGGGGTTTGGCAAGGTGATACAAAACCTTTTCTTTTGTACTGGTCAAGTTTGAAACTCTTTAGTCAACATCATTTATGGAGTGAAATTCACAGAGGGTTGGGCGGACCCTACCTAGCAATACATTAGCCAAAATTTAAAGACCTTGCACACTTCGTATTTAGCCTTTGTGTACACTTAACCTAGCCACACTGCCACTCATTTTTCCAGGATTTGCCCTGGAAGTAAAGGCTGAGTAGAAACCTGTTAATGTAATAAAATGAAGCTATAGTATCAGTTTAATAGCACATTTTTCACTATTGTCAAGTAGAATATAAAAGCAGGATGGATTTGAACAGATATGGGTAAATTAACATCAATTGTGCTGTGGTCATTTTGAAAGGCCAGACTCAAATGTAGCATGCAGAGAGTTTGGAATTGAAGCTGATTGATTGAGCTTCTACCAGGTGTAGAATAAGACTGGCTGGCTAAACAGCAGTAGATTCCATCAGAGCAGACTAGTAACATCAGAACACAGTAAATATTAGGTAGTTTTTGGCAATTCATTTTAAAATTCAGTTAACGTTCGTATACTTAATTTATGTTTTGAGAATGCTTTAGTAAATGAGGTTTAAGGAAAAAAAAAAAAGAAAAACAGAACCATAGAAGAGGTTACAAGGGACCTCTGGAAACCAGTGGTCCAAACCCCACTCAGAGCAGGACCAACTTAGATCAGGTTGCTCAGCGCCTTGTGCAGTTGAGTGTCAAGTCTCCAAAGACTGAGATTCCACAACCTCCCTGGCCCCCTGTTCCAGAGTTTGACCACCCTCATGGTGCAATATATTTCCTAAATCTAACCAAATTTTCCCTTGTAACAATTTGTAGAGTAACAGCAGGAGTGTTCAATATGAACACGGGAAAATCAATCACCCTCGACACACTGATTTCAAAAGCTGCACTTCCCAAAAGACAGAGTATCTACTACATGTGTTAACTGACCTGTCAAAGCTGGCTACTGTTGCTTGAATTTCATACATAAAGTATTCACAATCAACTATTCAGGTGTGGTCCATAGAAGACAGCTTTTAAAGTTAGATCAGTATACTGGTCAGTACACTGATCACTAAATGTTTTATGATAGATATTTGTAGGGCAGGATCAATGCAGGGACTGAAAAGCATCATGGTTTTACGCCTTGTAACAAAGTGCTGGTAGAGATTTTAGTTCTATGCTCATGTTGAGAATCATGTATGACAGCAATTGCAAGGCCTGAAACAAAAGGAGAGATGTAGTAGCAGGGAAAATGTTTTCTAAAAGGTGAATTTTAGAAAAAAACACCTCCTACCTGGGAGATACCACAGTATTTTTCTGTGAATTAGAGGCTGATGTTAATTCATATGATCCGCTGAGACAGTCAGATTGGATTCAGCACAAGGTTAAGACATGTACATTTACACGAGAAAAAGATATTGAAGCTAATAAGTGAGGATCTAGGGCTTGGTTCAATTGCCTAAACACAGTTTGAGTCACCATAGATACTCTCAGATATCCATAGGGGACTGGCAGATACAACACAGACCTACAAGGAGATGATACCCTTTTGTCAAGGCAGCTGATGGGCAGACAGGATAACCCTAAGGTGCTTTCAGTGTCGCTATACATTTGTATTGAGGCAGCTGAACTGTGATCCCCATGAGTGGTTTTGGAGACTGGTTAAGCTCACCTCAGAGTAGACATCTGACGACGAATCAGCCAAGTCACTCTTTAGGCTCCAATGACTGTATTGACTAATCTGCTTCAGGTGTGGGACATCTAGCTCATATGTAACACCTACAAGTAAGCATTTAATAGAAGTATCTTAAAAATAAACTGAATCCTTTCTTCATTGTCAATTAACAAATTTATGTTTACAAGTATAACTTAGGCTTGGTTGTCTATTACTGTATATTGTCTCACACTGTCAGTTCCATTACAGCATAGGCAATGAAGTCTAAGATGCTAATATCCTCCACTGGCTTTCTGGTCTCAGGTATTTAACTCAACAAGGGGTGCAGGCACATAAGCAATTTCTTCAGCTGAGCTGGACTTATGCACACTGCTAAAATTATCCCCTAAATACTGAATCAGGGCTGAAATTCTTTGCTTTGAAAGACAGGCCAGAGTCTTATCTAGTGCATATAAGCCCCCTGGTTTCAATAAAGCTCTTCCCATATTCAACAGTTAAAGAACTGGCCCTCAGGCAGTACTGCTTAAAATTCTTCATACAATTAAAAAAAAAAGCATAAACCAATTAAAGTTGTGAATTTGCCTTATGAAAATTAGCAAAATTCTAGTTCTGGAAAGAAAACGGCTGGTTCAGTATGTGGGCCTCTCAAAAAAGCAACAAATGTTGTTTGCCCAAGTTAGAAAATATACTCTTAAAATCACCCAAGTTAGTCAGTTCCATGGCATTTAATATAAATGGTATGACACAACATATTTGGCACATCCTGTATTTCATGGTAAGACTGGAATAAGAAATGATGTAAAAGAAACCTCCAGGGTATGAGGGAGGGAAAGACAGATTGTGAAGTTTGTACTAGAGGATTAAGAAGGATAGCGTAGGAAAGAAGGAGAGATTTAAATTCCAAGGTAAATCTGGCCCAGTCAAGTATTCCTCAATCAAATCAGACTGCATTCCTCATGTCAGACTGAAAAAGCACTGATTTAATTCCATCTGGCTTCAAAGTCCATGGGACTTGAGGATTTGTCATCTCTTACACACAACATTGTATCAAATAAACTTAGACCACCCAGGGCTGGCTGCTGTTTGGGCAGGGGCGGGGAGGTGTGTATGTATATATATACACACTTCTTTGCTGCCCTGTTCACATTCATGCAAACATAGGATGACCAGCATACTTTTTACAGGCCTGTGGGGCACTTGAATATTTAATATTGCCTGAAGAGGATTCTAATCACTTTTTTGTCTTTATAGTCCTCATTAAGTTGCATCTCTCTCCATTTTACTGTTTTGGTTTTTTTTTTGTACTGTCTTATGTTATCTTAGAGACCATGAAATAATAGAATTCTCGATTCTTGGTGAAGTAAGGAGAGGGGCCAGCAAAACCACTGCCGCAGACTTCTGGAGGTCAGACTTTGGCCTGCTCAGGACACTCGTTGAGAGAGTCCCTTGGGAGGCAGTCCTGAAGGGCAAAGGGGTCCAGGAAGGCTGGACGTTCTTCAAGAAGGAAGTCTTAAAGGCGCAGGAGTGGGCTGTCCCCATGTGCCATTAAGAAGAACGGCGGGGAAGGCAACCAGCCTGGCTGAACAGGGAGCTCTG